AAATAAAACATTGAAATACTAGCATGATGCCAGTGTGAGGCTGGATAGGAGAAAAGAGTAAGAATATATAGCCTTTAGTGGACCAAAGTCGATACAATAGTTCAATATATTGTTTAAATAAGGGGAGAAGACAATTATCTAACCAGAAGTTAGGGCAGGTCCTTAGAGGGCATCCTTAGCTAAAATTAATGTGGGGCACCTTTAAATTTTAATATAAAATGGAAACTTTAGAAATACTAAAAAGACACTTGTATTTGATTATGTAATACCACCACAAAAACTGACAGGCAAATGAGTGCCTGGGGAAAGTTATTTCTGAAATTTCTTAAAAAATGTAAATAACAAAGTGTTCAGGTTTATTTCCATAATATTGTGGATAGTATAATATAAATAGAGTAACAAATAACTTGTAGTTTGTAATTGTAGATAAGTCTTTGACTACAATCACACAGGCATATGCACACACACACAAGCACACACAGATAAGTCTTTGATTACAATCACACACACACACACACACACCACCACCACCAGATTTACTTGGAAGAAATAGTGATCTACCTTTCTTTTTGATTATTTATGATCCTTAAGAATTCACAAATGTGGGTACAACTTAGCTCCTAGAATTGTTGCTCCCATCTCTGTAAAAAGTGGCTCTGCTGTCTTAGAGGAAGAGAAGATGTGTGAATTTTTAATTTGTAGGTGAGATATATAATATCAAAATGTGCATCTGTTTTGGAAAGATACCTTTATTTTGTTGGAGGTTGCCACCTGAAGTGACCCAGCATGGCTAAGACTCCACTGAACCTACCTCCAAGTGAATCCGAGTGTCTCTCTCCCACGCAGCAGTGAGAGGCATGCCCTGCCCTAGCCAGAGAACCACGTTGTGGCTGATTTGCTTGTGTATGCTTAAGAGATAGAATAGAGACACCATAGTAACAAGCTTAACTGTATGACAGCAGGCAGATATTGCTTGTCGTTCCGTCACCCTGGAGAGCATGTCACCCTGCCCCCCAGCATTGGCTCTCGCTGCTTCTGCTTCCAGCTGTCCACAGACACTTCCTCGGAGGGACCCACAGGATACACGGGTAGCTATGCTTGCCTCTTTGGTCTTAGGCTTCTCGGTTGAGTTGATGAGCCTCTGAGGTAGCTGTAAACACTAAACTGCCACCACAGGCAAGAAGGAGGAGCCCTAGAGGCAGGGCAGAACCAGGTGAGATGTAGGAATGACTTACAGGTTTTGCCCAAGACAAGGACAGGGCTCTTTTGTGGACAGCTGTTAAATTCTGACACTGGTGTTTCTTTCTCCCCCTCTCTCTCTTTTTTTAAAGACAGGGTCTTGCTATGTAGTCAGAGGTTTTGAGCTTGCAGTCTTCCTGCTTTGGCTTCCCAAATGCTGGAATTCCAGGTGTGCTACCTCACTTGGCTCTGACGCTAGTTTTGAGGGAGGGCATATAGGAAGATAAATAGATAGATAGATAGATAGGTAAGTGTATATATATATTTGTAATAGTACACTCTGGCTTGAACAAAAATCCCACACTACAAAGTCTTACCCATAGAAATCCCTCCCCTCAAATATGAGCACATTTCAGTAAGAGACAGCAGGACTAAAAATACCCGGGTGACATCTGGAGAGTGGTGATCCTTTGGGATTTGTCTCATTTGACTAGATTCCAGAATGAGCCTGGATTTAGTTCCCCAGATGTGAGTCCTCAAATACAGCAGCCTCAGGTTTTGTTTATTTAGGAAACTTCCTTCCAGGTTTATAAATCCCAGCAGGCCACATAAGTTATGCCATTTTTACATTGATAGGAACTGTCATAAAGACTTGTGTATAAGCTATGCAACTGACATACAAAATGGTTTCCATTTCATTATTTATATTGCAAAATCATTTGAGATTTTGTGTATGAACTATTAGTTTTGTGTGCTTCTGAATGCCATTTCACTGATAAATTATGGGATGTGGGCATTTCATTCAGAACAAAGGAACATTATTAATTAGTTTTGGTGCTTTTTAAAATAACACACACAGGAACAGAAGGACCAATTAAAGAATATAATGAAAAAATGTGCCTCAATTCCCAAATTTGAGAAATTGAGGAAATTTGACTGTAATGGAGTCTTCACTTTGTACCAGGAGCTACACTATTCAAGTTTCCATTTCCCTCAATTATCAGTTTCTAATTACTTCTAGTCTATGTTTATGCAAATTAATTTTCAACAGTACCTTGAAATTTAAGTATGGTCCCCCAGAGACTGAAATCAAAGTCAAGCAAAATTCTACCAACCCTTCTGAAAACTGGCTAGTCATATGTATCATTTGCCGTCTGTACCCAGTAAGCACCATTCAAGAAAGAACATTTCTGTATGGCGTAGTAGCCATGTGTGGTGTTAATCTGTGCCAGGGACATGTTGGTTGCCACCACACTGTCCTCCATGGGACTGGTTGAGTACATATGTGGAGAAGAGAGAAGAAGTGTGGGAAAATAAGGGCAAGAGGCCGCTCAGTATTGAGAATCCATCCAGTTTTACTGGAGAGTAACGGCAATGACTAGATGCCCAGGGGAGCCCTTGGAAGAGAGTCTTATGTGTCACATTGAGGAAGTCACTTGGTCAGAAAGAGTCATTGTCAGCTTTTGACAATGGTGCAAGAATAGAGAGTCGGGTATGGAGGACTGTCTTAGTCATGCTCTATCGCTGGGAAGAGACACCATGACCAAGGCAACTCTTATAAAGAAGGCATTTAATTGGGGTTGTATTACAGTTTCATAGGGTTAATCCATTATCACCACGACAGGACACAGACAGACATGGAACAGCAGCTGAGTGCTCTACATCCTGATCCACAGGCAGCAGGCGGAGAGGCACTGGACCTGGAGTGGGCTTTTGAAACCATAAAGTCCACCCCCCACTGACACACCTCCTTCAACAAGGCCATACCTCTTGTTGTCAAGTTCTTTGCTATTTTTCTTTTTTAAAAATTTATTCTTTTCTCATATAATAGATCCTGACCACAGTTTTCCCTCTCTCCACTCCTCCCAGTCTCCTCTCCCTCCCCAGAGCCACTGTTTTCCTTTAAAAAAGACCGGGTCTCCCAGGGACATCAACTAAACATGGCATAACAAGGTACAAGAAGACTGGGCACAAACCCTAGCATCAAACCTGGACAAAGTGACCAGTGGAGGAAAAGGGTCCCAAGAGCAGACAAAAGAGTCAGAGACAACTCCTCACTGTTTAGGACCCACAAGAATACCAAGCTACACAATTATAACATATATGCAGAGGACCTAGCTCAGTCTCATACAGGCTTGTAATTGTCAATTCAGTCTCTGTGAGCTCCTATGAGCCCTGCTCAGTTGAGTCTTTGGGCCATGTTCTCCTAGTGTCCTTGACCCCTCTGGCTCCTACAAGCTTTTCTCCCCATTTGGAGAGTTCCCTGAGCTCTGCCTAATGTTTGGCTGTGAGTCTCTGCATCTGCTCCTGTCAGTTGCTGGAGCTTCTCTGGTGATGATTGGGTTAGGCACTGATCTATGAACAGAGCAGACTATTGTTAGGGATCTTTTCATTGATGTCTTCTTCCTCTTCTGCTTCTTTTTCTGCTTCTTTGCCAGTCATGTTTGGGTCTATCCCAGGTCTCTGGGCTATCCAGCCTCTGGTTCCTGGACATCCAGGCAGTGTCAGGAATGGGCTCTCTCACATGGTGTGTGTGGGTCTCAAGTTGGACCAGTTATTGGTTGACCATTCCCACAAGTTCTGCACCATTATCCCAGCACATCTTGCTTTCAGGACAAGTTGCAGGTCTAAGGTTTTGGGGTTGGGCTGGTGTCCTAGTCCTATCACTGGAACCCTGACCTGGTTACAGAAGATAAAGACCTCACCTCTTAATCCTTTCCAAACAGTATGTCAACTGAGGACCAACCATTCAAACAGAGAAGCCTATTGGAATCATTCTCATTCAAACCACCCCAAGGACAGAACTAATTTTTTTTACCTTGTGCTTAGTTAAAGCCCCTAAGAAAGGCTCCACAGTGTCAAGGGGTTGACTCTCTAATTCTGAGTAGTCTTTAACATAAATGAATGTATCTGTTAGTCTGTTCTTTTTATACATCAAGGGACTAAGTCCTCCACTTCAGTTTTTCCAGTCAAAAACATTTAAAGACATAGAGATAAGGATTGATTATTTTTCATTATTTCACCTTCTGATTGGCTGCTGAGAATCACAGAGATGAGATTTTTTTTTGAGATTCTAGTTTCTTTGACACTCATCTAGTGGTTTGGTGGAAGGAGAGAGATTCAGCCCCAAGCCGTCATTTCTCTTTCTCCATCATTACTGTAAGTTTGGAGTACCTCAGCACCGACAAAAGAAGTGTGTCTGGTCCTTGGTCTGTCAGATCTTTGATTTCATCTTTGCTCATGGTCATGGCTACTCATTTCTGTATTACATCTGATATACCCAATTGTATTATCTACTACTCGATTCCATTCAAAACGCCAAGATCAGCGTTTTAGTCTGTGAACTCATCTCCTATTTTTTTTTTTTTTTAGAAAATTCCCTCTAGTCTCCCCATTCCACTAGCGCATCAGATTGAGATGGCTAATTCACTGGCCTGGCTGCTCCTCTCTCCTCTCCCATGTCACACTTTCCTCTCTGGGCTTAGGTGCCATGACTTGTCACCGACACAGACTGGTTTATCCACAGCTGTCTTCTCTAACTGACCAGGGCGTGTGCTGATGGTCATGACCCTCTTCTAGGCACCTGCGCTCTGCCATTTTGCTCCTTGCTGTAGCCTGGGTGCTCAGAACATGATTGGCTCATGGTAGGCACTAGGAAATGTAAGCTGAATGGATGAATAAACAAATCAGGGAAATTTTAGTAATTTTCGCAGGAGTTAATGTATGCATTTGCAATGGAGAAGCTAGGCATATGTTTCTCTTCTTATTGTTTTTAGATAATTGTTTCCACTTTTCCTCATTTGTCCCCTTCCCTCCTACAGGAAGACGGGCCTCATCCCAAGGAGACTTCCTGTGTTTCCCTCCCGAGGAACTGATTACAGGGCAGCCCGAGGTCATGTTCTGTGCATGTTGTTCTGAATGTACAGGGGAATGAGTAAGGAAATGGGGACGTGATGAATGCCCCCTCTGAAGCCATCATATTGCCTTTGGGTTCCATCTCTGTAGGCATTGGAATGCTCATTAAGAACTTGGGAAAGAGGCTCAAAGGAAGGTAGAAACTGGCAGTGGGTACATTACTTTGGTTCTGTGGTACAGTTGCAGATGAAGATAAAATAGAAGAAATATAGAGAAAGGAGCAGAGAGGGGCCCTGGCAGAATCATGGGATGCGAATCCAGCATCGCTAGAGCACTCTGGTGTTATAAAAACACAATGTTAAAGGGATTGGCTTTGATTATGGGACAAACCAAGTCTGCTCATCCACAGCATGCTCACCTGCAGATAAGGCCGCTCTACTATAACACTTAGAATTTTAGATGTGCACATAAGCTTTAGGTAGCTTGTTGGGTTCAGCGTACTAAAATAAAAGCAAGGATTCTGATTGTCTTAGTTTGCTTTCTATTGCTATGATAAACACCATGACCAAAAGCAGCATGGGAAAAGATGGTTTATTTGACTTACACTTCCATGCTATAGTTTATCATTTGGGGAAGCCAAGGAAAGAACTCAAGGCAGGAATTTGCTGGAAGGACCTAAAGCCAAGACTGTGGAAGAGCATTGCTAACAGACATGCTCTGCACGCACGGCTTGCTCAGCCTGCTTTCTTCTACAACCAGGACCACCTGCCCAGGGGTGGTACCACCGCAGTGAGCTCGGACCTCCCACATCACTCATTAATGGAGAAAATGCCCTATAGATTTGCCTGCAGGCAATCTGATGTAGACGGTTTCCTCAGATGAGGTGCTCTTGTCCCAGATGACCCTAGCACGTGCAAGTTGACAAAAAGAAAAAAGAAAAAAAAAAACTAACCAGCATAGTTAGTGACTGCCTGTGCTAGGAAGGGTGCGGTTTGGGAGGGTAGAAAAGACCAGGGGTGACATGACACGACCTTTTCATCTAGCTCCAGGCACTCATTAGCTGCCCTGCCAACCCTGCATCCCCAGGCCTCTGACATTCTAACTCTTTTGGGCCTTCTTTAAAATGAAGATGATCCTGTGTCTGCGAGTCCCAGAAGGCAGACACAGTCAGCACATTTGATTCACCACGTATACAATCTCATCGTACTGGATTTTATTCTCAAAGTTTGCCATATGAGTAGAAACCACATATGGGCTTAGTATATGACGTTGGAGGACGTCCGCTCCATCAACTCTTCACGTCCAGTAAGGAAAGGGTTAAAAAGAGAGGCCTGGGATGGATGGTTTTCAAGCCATTCAGTTCTGCATTTCCATTGAGAACCCAGGTAAATCAGTGGCGATTGTTGCTTTTAATCGTTGTGGTTGATTAGGAGCTGCAGGTGAACGCAGCCATCTTAAAGGCCTGCCTTTGAACAAGTACGGCTGCTTTTGTTTGGGATGAATCTCAACAAAATGAGACCGGTGGGCATGATGACGCCTTTGGTAAGCCAGGCCTCACTAACGGCACTCGTTCAGGTATGGAGTTTTGGGAACATTTAGAGCCAGACTCAGAGGTGCCGCCCTCATAAGGAACACATGGCTGGCTCATTATCGGATCCCTAGGGAATGGTGCAAGAGTTAATTACGAGCTCCAGGAACCCTCTGTGAAGCTATCCTGTGGGCTTGGAGCTTTCAAAGAGCTTTAGATTAGTACACAGAGAGCAAGGAGTCTGTGAAGTAGTTTTTCTTTGAGGGGAAGGCTGAGGGGAGGCAGCTGTAAGCACCTAGAAGGACTTGTATCAGAAAGGACCTAACGTATGAAATGAGACCTACAGCATGCTAGTTCCCTTGCCCCCTACCCTGGCTAGTTTTTATGTCAGTTTGACCCAGACTATAGTTATCAGAGGGGAGAGAACCTAACCTGGAAAAAAAAAAGCCTCCATAGGATCTGTAGGCAAGCCTGTAGAGCATTTGCTTAGTGATTGATGTGGGAGGGCCCAGCCTATTGTGGGCGGTGGCCCTGGGCTTTAGAGGAAAGCAGGTTGAGCAAACAAGAAGGAAGCCAGGAAGCAGCAGCCCCCCATGGCCTCAGCCCCCCCCCATGGCCTCGACATCAGCCCCTGCCTCCAGTTCCTGCCCAGTTTGAGTTCCTGCCCTGGCTTCCCTCAGTGGCGTGTGAAGATTCATACTATCAGATAAACGCTTTTCTCCCCGACTTGCTTTTGGTCACGGTCCAATCAGAGCAGTAGTCACCCTTAACCTCTCTATGTAGACCCTCACCACCTCCCATCAGCACTGGGTACCAAACTCAGAGCCATTATTAAACTAGAATTCTAATGCCGGGCTAATTCTCAAGTGCTAAATTTTATTTTATTTTGTAGTGCTGGCGCCAGCTGAAGGTGCTGCCACGTGGGTGAGGTAGTCTACCACTGAGTCTCAAGACCCCAGTGCAGGAAAAACAAGAAGCTGACCACCTGCTCCATAGTAACTAATGCCACGTTGTGTAAAACACCAACAATCAAGGCTGCTTCTGGAAACAAGTCCAACTTGTTTCTCTGATGTGTTGTTTTTTGGACAGCTAGTTGCTGAAGTCAGGAAATTTTTGCTTTAAAATCCTGTAATCTGCTTGCCAGATGCTTACGGGTCAGTTCTCATGTGTTCTAGGAGTCTGATTGGCCAGCCTCCCTTAACCTAAGTCTGTGTGCGCCAAAGGCAGAAGAGAACTCTTACCTGTCCTGTCAAGGGAAGGACCTACTGTCAGCGCAGGCTTCCGGGCAGCTGTGCTTCCTTTTGAGGATGAGCTGGACCGGGGAGGTGGAGCTAGGAGAGGACTCTCACTGGGGGCTGCAGAAGGTGCCTCACGCAGTGGAGTGGACCGGGAAACCATGCGGACATGGCTCAGAGCTTGGGTTCTAGAGCGAGCTAGAACCGGGTCAGGGGCCAGGGCTGTTTTCCAGCTTCACCGCCTCTGGACAAGTAGCCTCATGAACCTTGTTCTTTATCCCATGAAATGGGAATAAAAACTCTGCCTCCTTCAGAGAAACAAATTAAGTCAGAGACTGTGCTGCCTCCCCTGGTAAGTGCCTGGTACAGATGAATTCAATCATTGTTATTATATTTAAAAACCAAATGACTAGACAAGGTCTTTGTTTCAATCGTCTGTCAAATCAAGGGCACCAGTAGGCAAACAAACCTCTTGGAGAGAGAATGGCTGTCACCCTTGGGCTTGGGTGACTGGACAAGGTATACCAGCCACGAAACAGATTTTCCCACGGCCTCCAGGGTCAGTTTTCTGCCCTCTGTCCTGGTTCACATTTCCCTTGCAGGGGCTAGGGTTGCCCAGTATGTGCCAGACGTGGAGGCTCCCTCCCTGCGTGGTTCTTGTAGAAAGTCCAGCTTCCCCAGAGCCTCTCAGTCTGGCTGTGTATACTATCTCTCTTAGGGCTTTCATGACCCTTAGGCACCCCACACTCATTATTCCCAGAGAGCATCCAAGCACTAGCATTTGGAAGGCTCTCTGGTGGATGCGAATGTTCAGCTTGGGAAACTCTGATTTGCCATTCACCAAGTGAACGGAGCATGCTTTGGTGCCTCGGAGCCAGAGAACATGTGATGGCACATTTGTACAAACACGTTATTGTTTCTTCTCCCATTTGAACTCTTGCCCAGGTCTGGCACCGTGAGCATCTCCTCCTCTAAATCCTCATCGTCAACCTCTCTGCTCCCTCTCTCTCTCGGCACATCTACTGCTCAGCTGGCCCCTCTCAGTCTTTTTTATACTTTGCATCCTTCATAGCCGGTTTGCGTATTAACAATTCCCCGGAGTTTATTCTCACCGTGCTTTTCACTCATTCTTTTAAAAATGTTTTTATTAGTATAATTAAATGTACAAAACAGTGGGTTCCATGCAACCCTTTCACACGCTCCTATAACATAGCTGCACCTCCCAACTCCGTCGCTACCTATAAGACTTGTTTATCAAACCTGGAATTTCAAGCCTCCATCTAACTTGGGATCCAGATGGTCCATCCAGAGACCTGTGTGCCTCTGAGCCACCTCAATTACAACTGTTTGAGAATCTTTTAATATTTTCCATCACTGCCATCACAGCCATTTCTAATCTTTGTTGTTTTCTTTAGACCCATCTTAATGTCATTTCTCTGGATTCTTGGTGGTCTGCTTTACTCCCCCAACGCTTCTTCCTGGTTATTGGTTCTAAAGTATGAAGTTGACCAATGTTTCCTGCAAACTGTGCTCTGCACTTGTTGAGAGTAGAAGTAGACTTGGGAGTGAGGTGAGTCCCCTTGTCCCAGACTCAGGCATGGATATTTCAAGCATCCTTCAAAACTCCCTTCTTTGTGGCAGCCTGGCTTCCTGGTTCTGTAACAGAGAGAAAGAGAGCAGTAAACAGTCAAGAGTATTAAAAATAAAACAGAACAAGCAAACAACAACGAAAAACCTCATGTTGCATCCCTGAGAACAGTTAGAAGGTAAACACTTGCAATAATAGTGGTTATTCCATGGCATAAAAATTCCTACAGTGAGAGTCTTAAGCCGGTTGCTCATCCATGGAGAGAAAGCTCTCTGCAAGCTCTCATCCATGGAGAGAAAGCTCTCTGCAAGAGTTGTCAAGGAGGAACTTCAGTTGGGCTGCTTCAGCAAGGTTCTCCTACTTCTTATTTCTGCTGGATGTTTCATCACCTGACTTGGTGATGTTTGGCCGCCTGAGAAGTTAGTTCTTTTATTTTGGCTACGACATACTTAATGTGTCAACTCATTCCAAACCGAAAATACAGCTATTGCAAATCATTTTCCAGTCATACCAGAGATGACTTGATAAAATATTTTAAAGTATTATTTTCTTTGGAAGGTAATGCATGTTTTTTTGTTGCAAAATTATTTTTAAAAGTAGTACTCATTGTTTACTAGTTAAGTTTCTCTAGTTTATAAATGCTTTACCTCACATAATTAGCATTTTTGTTTGATGAGAAGTCATGCCGTGTACTCCCTTTACACTTTTCAAGTATATGGAAATGTGATGTCCTCAGCCATGGTTGCCTCTATGTGCCACTGGCTTCCTGAAATTGCTTGCTCTGATCTGCTTGTTAGATTTGTTTTAGAGTCAGAGCTTATAGGATTCACAATAGGATTAGCTCTTGGATGTGAGATGCAGACGTAAGAGATCCAAGATGCCCTGGAGAGTTTTTTGACCTGAAGAATAAAGATGTTGTTTATCAAGGAAGATCCAGGGAGAAATAACTTCTGAAAGGAAAACTAAGACTCAGGTACAGTATTTTGAGAAGTTTATTAGTCTCCAGGCGAAAATGTCAATTAGGCAGGTAGAAGCAGTAATTTGGAGGTCAAGGAGGAGGCTGTTGAGTGGATACATGAGTCTGAGAACCATTAGTATATAGACTGTATGTCTAATCAGGAGAATGCACGAGTTCCCCAGGACAGTGAGTATGGATGAAGAGGAGGGGGCTGCAAGCTGAGCTCTGTGGTCCCTCAGGTGTGTGTGTGTGTGTGTGTGTGTGTGTGTGTGTGTGTGTGTGTGTGTGAGAGAGAGAGAGAGAGAGAGAGAGAGAGAGAGAGACAGAGACAGAGACGGAGACGGAGACAGAGAGACAGACAGACAGAGGGAGAGAGAGACAGAGGGATAGACAGAGGAAGAGGGAGAGAGATTGGTGTATGGTCTGAAGAATAGCTGGAATTAGAACTATTAGGAAGGTTCCCAGAAGTCAGATGAGAAAAGTGTCCCATGCAGAAGGCAGTGAGCAGCTGCTGAGTGCTACAACTGCTCAAGTCAGATAAGGTTGATTTTGTTTATTTTTATTTTTATTTTTTATGATACCCTGGCACTTGCCCATATTAGGCAAACACTCTACCACTAACCTACATGCCCTATTGGCCATTCTTAAATCAACACTTGAAGTGGAATTTAGAGTTCCTACAGAGACACAGGCTGTTATTGGGGTGGGGGGTGTAATGGCTACGGGAACGAGCTGGCAGAGAGGGAGTGATTGGTGGCCCTTCCCTGTCACTGTATCCTCTGTCCATGGGACAGTGAGCTCTGTCTTCAACCTCTTTTGTTCTCTATGCGTCATCTCACAGACATATCCGATCTTCCCGCACTTTTAAAAGTGAAATCTCAATAACTTTGGAGTGATATCACCCTGAGTTTAGATTTTTATTTCTTGATGTTGTGTAGCTCAACCTCTTTGAGGTCAGGAAAAGAACTCTGACAAAGTTGGTGTCAAAATAGAGATAATGGATACAAGATTTTCCCTTCACTGCCGGGGAACTCATCAGGCTAGGCAAGCATATGCCTGGTAAACTAACACCCAGCCTGGTGAGCTGCACCCCAGCCTGGTGAGCTGCACCCCAGCCTGGTGAGCTAGACCCCCCAGCCGTAGTGCCCTGCTTTTGTTAGGAGTGGCTGTCTTGTTACACCAGCTGCGCTGTTTTATCAGCCAGTGGTGACTATGGCCCAGCGAGCCTGGCAGGGCCGCCCTGGCAATCCTCCCCATTTCCGAGAATGCTAGTCTCCTTCAGTGGGTTTCTGCTTAGCCCTCCTCAAATGCCTTTTCATTTCTAAATAATGATGTTTGCTGTGAAGGTCATTTCTGGCTCTTTTATCTGGTTATCTAACTTTGTTGCCCAAGATAGACCATGTGTGAGTTTCACGTGAAATCACTCCTAAGACAGGATGAATGCATACATTTTTTTTCCAGGAGAAAGCCCATGTTTTCATTCATGCTCTCAGAAGCAGGTCAAGAATAAAGACATTGGATAATTCAAGTGGCTCACTTTCATAAACCTTTGGAGCTTTTATCTGTCCCACTGTTATAGTAGCTTTGTTCAAGGTTCCGTTGAGTCCTCTTAGGGGAAACTGTTTCCTTATGGTCGAAAGAGTGGAATTTGCCTTTGGTTTTGGGTAAAGACTTAACATTCCAAGTCACTGAAAATGAAGGGATTAATCAAGTGGGACCCACTAATCACCTGGATAAGAGGCAAAACCTTAGGAAGGCAGATTTAGCTAATGTCATACTAAAGAGGTGGGAAGGCCAATTGTCCCTAATGAGGAACCGTACTTTTCCCACCCAGCCCCCTGCTGTCTGTACAGTTGCTATGGAGCCGCTCTAAGGCTCTGTTGAGTCTTCTTACTTTTTTGAGTTCTGACCCAGAGAGGTGTGACTTTTTCATTTCTTTCTTTTAGATGATGGCCAGAGCCCAAGTGTGCTTTCTGTTGCCTCCCTCCCTCCCTCTCTCCCTCCCTCCCTCCCTCCCTCCCTCCCTCCCTCCCTCCCTCCCTCCCTCCCTCCCTCCCTCTCCCCCATGTGTGTATGTGTGTGTGTGAACACATGTGTGCATATGAGTGCAGCTGTCCTCAGAGGCAGAAGGCATTGGATCCCCTAGAGCTGGAGTCACAGGGAGTTATGAGCCCCCCAACAGTGAGAAACTGAACTCAGGTCTATTGCTAGAGCAGCATGCACTCTTAACCACTGGGCTACCCTGCCAGTGCCTTCACGTTCCTTTGACACTGCCTCTCTTCCTACGTGGCTGCTTGATGACCCTTCATACCTAACTCAAAAGGTACCCTTTTCTCTTTTCCTCCTCTCTTCCAGCTCCAGGGAGCTGACAGCTTTCCTGCCCTGAGCTTTCTTTTCTAAACTCTAGCAAAATTGTCCTTGAGATTCCTTCTGAGTCTGTTCTTAAATTCATTTATTAAGGATACCAAGAACCCTGAGAAGGCACCCTCACATTTCCACTCTGTAACACGGCAAAGTGGCATGTGACACCACTCCTAATAGTGTCACTCTCCATAGGCCAAGCATTCAAACACACGAGTCTATGGGGGTCAAACCACTACACATGGCTATCTAGCAGTATTCTGTGTCTTTTGTATGGGACAACTGAAATTGCTTTATGTTCCCCAGTGCCTTTCTCAGTGTCTAGGACATGGTAGATACTCCAGAAAGATTGCTGCACATCTGACTGCATTTCTTTTATTTCTCACCTAATAAAGCATAGAAGAAGCAGCAATATAGCTGGATCATGCTGCATTTATAAGTATTTAGCATATTACT